CCAAAGCCGACTGTACTTCCTCAGGAGGCTGAGGTCTTTCAACATCTGCAGGAAGCTCCTGAGGATGTTTTACCAGTCAGTGGTCGTAGGAGTACCTTTCTATGGTGTGGTGTGCTGGGGGAGCAGTACAGCAAAGGACTCATCCAGGCTGGAGAAACTAATCAGGAAGGCGGGCTCTCTGGTCGGCATGAAGCTGGACACTCTGGTGACAGTGGCAGAGAAGAGGACCTTAAAGAAACTGATGGGCATTATGAACAATGCCGGGCATCCTCTGCACACGGTCGTAAACAATCAGAGGAGCCTATTCAGCGACAGGCTGCTTCTCCCAATGTCAAAAACCAACAGACTTAAAAACTCCTTTATCCCACACGCCATCAAACTGTTTAACTCCTCACTGGAGGGGAGAGGGAGGAGAAACAGGGGGACAAGGGAGGGCGGGAACAACTGAGTAGGTGCTTTTCTACACTGTGCAATATTTGTTTTTTGTTTTGTCTTTTTTTTTCTTATATTCGACTGTTCAATAATCACTGTGCAATATACTCAAATGAGCAATCCTATTTATCCATATTGTATATTCTGTATCTATATATGTGTATATATGGTGTATTTATGCTTATATCCTTACTCTCATTCCCCTTAATGCATCTGTAACATGCAACTTCTTTCGGTGCTTTGCCACTGGAAACGGAATTTCCCGGAGGAACCCACCCGAGGGATTAATAAAGTTTCATCTAATCATCTAATCTATCTCTATCTTTAGTAACAGATGGGGCTGCCAATATGGGGGCTTGTGCAAGGGAACTACGACTCAAACATGTCATATGCATAGCTCACACCCTGAACTTAGTGGTGAAGAAGGCCCTTGACCAGACCCCTGAGCTCTCTGACATCCGAGCCAAGTCCAGGAAGATCGTGGGATATTTCAGGAGCAGTACCCCTGCAAAGGTAAGTTCGTAAGTGGCTTAATTACAGTTTCTTTAATGCCACTTAAGTGTATTGTTCTGCTCCCTTGACAATCTAATGTATGCTTTTTTTAAATTGTATTTTGTAAGGAGAGGCTTTCAGTGGTACAGGAACAACTAAAGAAGCCTCAACTCAAACTAATACAGAAGGTGGAAACCCGCTGGAACAGCACTTATAATATGCTGCAAAGACTGTTTGAGCAAAGGGAGCCAGTGGGTGCTGCTTTGGCAAGTCTCACAACAGACATCCCACCTGTTTCATCTGAGGAATTTGGTATAATTTCAGAGTGTCTGGTTGTCCTAGCACCATTTAACAATGCAACCACTGAGCTCTCTCAGGAAAAAAGGGTGTCTGGGTCAAAGGTCATACCTTTGCTCACTATGCTGGATCATTGCCTCAATGAAAAAAATGGAAAAATCACCATCCATTTGGTCTTCTCTGGCTCAGAAGCTGAGGATGCTATTGAGAGAGAATTTGAATAAAATACAAACCATGAGCATTATGTTCCTTGCGACACTGCTGGACCCAAGGTT